GTGGAATACTGCACATGATACCAGACTGTGGGCATGTGTTGGCCTGTTTTGCTGAACCTTCCCCCTTTCTTTTTTATCCTTTGTTATGAGGGATGGCTTTCTGGAAGGAAGAAATAGATCAGAAAACGCATATGATATAAAAACAAAAGATGTTAATTTTTTTTAAAATGGGGGGGGGGTGTTGCATCGTGGTATATTGGAAAGAACACAAGCAGGCCTGAGAATTAGGAGACTGGTTCCGGTCCTGGCTCTGACCCTTGCTAATGGGGTGATGTTAGGTAAATCACCTCTGCTCTCTGGGTCTCAGTTTCCTCTTCTGTAAAATAAGAAGACTGGACTAGATGATCTTAGGGTTCCTTCCAAGTTCTGAGACCCTCCATTCAATTACTAGTATTCTTGTCCATAGTTATCATTGCGATTTCTATTTAAACAAAGATATGGGAGAATACTCCCTTCTGTGTCTTGTGTCTATAATACCTCCAGGTTGTCTTTTACATTGCCTCAGATAATTCTGCCAGCTACAGCCACGAAAGGGTAAAAGAAGCTGAGCTCCCTGCCCCCATTACCCTGGGCCCTCTATCTCTTACCTTCTCTTCGGAACACACTGGCCTAGCAACCCCACCCCTGACTACTTTTCTTCTACAACCCCCAATTAACTTTGCCCGGAGCGATGGGGGTGAGTGAGGTCAGCTCTTTCTTCAAACCATCTCCAAACTCACTGAAAAAAAAAACGACACTTCATTGCTGCCCAAAATGTAGACCAGTGATGTCAAACCCAACTAGAAAAGGGGTCACTAATCCATACGTAAGCATCCCTAGGGGCTGCGTATGGACTTAGTTTTTAAAATGTCATATCATCTGCATTGGACTGTATTTTTATTTATTTTGTTAAAGATTTCCCAATGACATTTTAATCTGGTTCTGGCTGAATCCTAGAGTGTGGTGGGGTTGCATTTGACACCTCTGACATAGACTACTGACCTAGAGCTGGGAAAAATTGTAGAGGCCCCCAAGTTCAAGCCAGTCAGGACACAGAGGTAGCAAGCTTTAGAGGCAACATTTGAACCCAGGTCGTCTAACTGGACAATCAGTTTCACTGGACCATGCTGCTACTTAATAGATTTGCCCAGAAGACATGAATCAGAAAAAGGCAAAGATGAAAGGCTAGTGTCAGGAGACCTGCATTTTCATCTTGATTCTCCCCTTAATTCATTGTGTGACTAAGTATAATAACTCATCTTTACATAGCTCCATAATGTTTAACAAAGTATTCATCTCCCAATGCCCTGTGAGGTCTATTAGGTACGATTATCCCCCATTTTACAGATGAAGAGTCTGAGGGTCAGGGAAGAACCTTGTCCAAAGTTAGAAAGCTAATAAAAGGCAGGGTCTTGACTTGTACTCAGACTTACAGATTCTGAATCCAATGCTCTTCCCACTACACCAAAAGTATCTTATATTAAGAATAGCAGGCAAGTATATGGCAAAGCAGTGTCTCCAGCCCATCTCCCCATCAACCATCTACACACCTACCTAACAGCCAGCCAAGTACTAGATTATGTGCTTCCTTCTAGAGTGAATTAGAGCTCTGTAGCAAAGAGGACTCACTCCCAAAACAGAACTTGGTTGTCAGAAACTTCACTGCTAGAGACAGAAATAAAGGATGACTCTAAGGTATGAGCTGAGTCTTTGGATTTCAAACCTAAAACACCTTTAGCATGACACTCCCCACCTCCTCCATCTCCATAAGAAGAGGGCCTATAGTTTTTTCTAATTTCCCCCCAACCAGAGGGCATTTTACTTTCTCGGAACATCAAGGAAAATGGCCTGCTTTGTTGCACGTTAATCTGGCACGCTGCTGGAACCTAGGCCTTTCAAATGCCACGAATTTGTCCTTTCTGTATCATCTCAGTCCCAAGCCCACTGCTACTATTGGTTTTACCTCTTCTTCTTCTTCCCTTTCCTCCCCCTCATCTTTATATATGAAAAAACATTGACCTTGGATTCTGAGAACCTGGCTTCTAATCCTAGCTCTACTGCTTACAACCTGAGTGACTGTGGACAAATTTAACCCTCAGAGACTTTTTTCATGTGTAAAATGAGGGCCGTTGGTCTAAGTGACTTCTGAAGGTCCCCTTCAACTTTAAATCTATGCTCATACAATTGTCTTCTCTTTCCCCACCCACCACCCCCACCGCCTCACAGAAGACTGGAACTTCCCCCAAAACTCCCTTGCCTGAGTTGTCTCTTAAAACAAACTTTATTTCCAGAGGATTTATTAACTAAGACATCAAATCGTGGTCCTATTTCATGTTGAGTTAATCATGTCACCTGAATTGATTGCAAGCTTCCTGAGGGCAGGGGCCATATTAATGTTTTTGTATCCCCTTCAGTACCTAGGAATATCTTGTACATAGCACCTACAATCTGTCTTGAAACTTTTTAGAGCAATAAAGCAACTCAGAGACTTTAGCCCTAGTTTGCTGAAACAATTTAGCCACAGACTGTATTAGGGCTGACGCTTTATTGCTAGAATCCCAAAATATGCTGTACCATAGGGAAAGCACATAGAATACCCACAGTATAAAGGAAGTAGGGAGTGGCAGGGAAATTTTGGAGAAAAATGGAGAAAATTAATTGCCACATAGGAAAATAATGATATCATATAAAATGTCTATATTTCATATTTTAAATGGAAAAATACTACAATTTTCTCAAAAAATTTATGCATTGTGCAGAATTTGGTTTGCAAACTGCTAATGGAATCTAATCTCAATTTACAGATAAAGAAACTGAGATCTGAAGAATAGATACCCAATAAATATTTCTTAATCAATTGGGGATCTTCCTAATTCACCTTACTTTTTGGGAATCTTTTGGACAGTTCAGGAATACCAACATTAAACTAACACTGTCTTTTAAAACTGAAAGCGTTGACTGTCTGAAACGAATGATGTGTGGCTCTCAACAAAAGTGGACTAGCTGTTGGCATGGACACTGATCTTTCCAGTAATTGGGAGGTAGTTCAGGGAACCATCCATATTCTCAGCTGATCACTGTGAATGCAACATGAGAAAAGCCACCTGAGTTAGGAATGTTAACCATAACCACCGGGCCAGACAAAGCTAGCCATTCTAAACCTAGGACCAAGCTCCCAGCCATCAATATCTCTTGGAATGAACAGTTTCAGACTGAGCTAATCAGTTCAGACAGAAAAGACCCATAACCCAAGATCTCAACCTAATTCAGCATAATTTCTCACCAGTCATCTATGTATGTGCCCAATTTTCCAGCTGAAACAAAGGTCTATGTGCCATTCCTTAGACATGCTCCTGGCCCTCAGTTTCCTCATCAGTAAGATTAATGAGTTGGACCAAAGGCCTCCAACATCTCTTTAGGCCTTCATGATCTACTTATTAGCTGGGTGACACTGGGCAAGCGCCTTCATTTCTTGGAGATTCAGTTCTCTAATCCACTGATGAGGATAACAATGCCTCCGTAGACCAAAATGGACCTCTCCAGGAAGCCATTTTGAAATTCAAATGAGATATCAATGAAAAAGCATTTATTAAGCTCTGACTAAATGCCAAGTACTACTCTAAACCCAGGGGATACGAATAACAAAAGCAAAAACACTCTGGATTTTCCAGAATCCTACCTTGCAATGTGAGGAAACAAACATAGAAGAAATAACACAAAGGAAATGGGAGCCAAGGAAGGGCACTTCAACCAACTGATAAGCATTTATTAAACACCTATCATATGTCAGATATGTAAAGATCTTTGCAAACATTAAAACACTAAATAAATATCTTTTATGACTATTATTTACATCTCCATGACTTCGCTCAGCCTGCTCTCTCAGCCCAGAAGATCTCTTCCCATCTTCACCCATGGAAATCAAATGATGGCCCAGGCCATCAACTCCATGGGGAAGCTCTCTCTTCCCAGGAGGAAGTGGTCTCTTTCACTCTCTCCTTCTACAGTATTTCTCTTGTATAGTATTTCTCTTGGCCAGGGCCCCATGTTGGAGATTTATTTCATGGCCAGTTCTGGTAGAAGAGGATAAACCCAGATTATAAACTCTCTGAGGACAGGGACTATTCTTTATTCACCTTTTAATCCACCACAGCACATCCAGAAGAAGGTCCAATCTACATATGTTGAGTGACTTTTAGGAAGAGCAAAGGCAGATAAAGGGCGGAAGGTTTTAGGGATGAAATCTGACATCCCCAGTAGAATAGTAGGTTCTCCATAACATGCTTGTTGAATTGAACCTCTGAAAGGAAGAGCTTAATCTTCACATAAAAGGCTAGAAGATAATGTAAGAGAAGCCGGCCATGGAGAAGAAGAATGCAAGGGAAATGTCCGCTTTTGGGGGGAGGAGAGGACCTATGCAAGGTGTGTGTGTGCAAATAATAAAATAACGAATCTTAACAACGCAGGTCAGAATCCAGCATCGCTCTCCCATTAAATAACTCATCTCCCACACTCTGCCTCAAAACACAGACTACAGAGTCAGAAAGAAGGGGTCTGGACCCTGGGTTTGCCACCTTCTGCTTGTGGGACCTTAGACAAGCATCCCCACCTCTCTATGCCTACATCCTCATCTGGAAAATAAGGGAGTGCTACTGACATTCCTCTCTAGCCTAGCTCCAGTGTTACTTTCCCCAGACTCCAACTACTTTTCCTTACGGCCAAAGGTTCAGGAAGTCTAAAGAGATGGGTGGTTGGATTGTAAAGAACAGAATGGTAGCTGGGGTAAAATGACCTCCGATTATACATTAGGTACAACACTAGGAGGCTTGGCAGAGTCCAGGGCCCAGCTCTTCTTGGGCTGCTCCCTCCTAAACTTCAGGTTCTTGCCCTACCAAACCCTACAAAAGTCTAGCTCTGGTCAACAAGTTTGTTTGAATGGAGATCTCTCTAATCCTGGTGGAAAGGGAGACAGAGGGCAGCCAAATGGGAGAAAGGGGGGGGGGGGAATGGAACGAGCTTACCTGCAAAAGTGAGTGCAGGGAAGGGACTTGATCCCAGGACCAAGGGTCACAGATGAAATTATGGAGCAGCGCAAGTTGACTCTACAGTGGAGATAGTCGACGTACTCCAGGCACCTCGAGTTGCTTCCGGGAGCGCAACTCAAACCCAGAGGGGACAAACAACGAATGTTATCTTCTGCCCTGATCTCATGTCTGAGTTAAATTCCACGCTCTCAGCACTTTTTGCAGAGTGGGGGTTGTTTTTCTTCTGCGCCATACTTTCCTATGGAGCCAAGAGCATGGCAGCCAGTCAGGCTATCATCATTCTGTTCTCTGAATGTGTCCTTACCCTTCCTCCCTCCATTCCCTACATAGAGGACCTTTATTGGACGCCTTTCTTCTTCTTTTTTTTAATTTTGGTGAGGCAATCGGGGTTAAGTGACTTGCCCAGGGTCATACAGCTAATAAGTGTTAAGTGTCTGAAGCTGGATTTGAACTCAGGTCCTCCTGATTCCAGGGCTGGTGCTCCATCCACTGCGCCACCTAGTTGCCCCACATCTTTCTTCTTTAAGGAACTTTGTGGGTCTGTCTTGATCACCGATGGTCATATCCTAATGCCACTGTCCTCATCTCCCATGTTAACTCTGGAAAAGTTAATGCTCAATTGCACACAAGGGAGGAACTCCAGAAGAGAAACTCATTCTCCTTATTTCTCAACTGTTGTATCTGAACTTAGAAGGTAAAGGGAGTTATCTCACACATACCAGCTAGATGTCTCACATAGTCGGATGGCTGTGGAAAGATTGCTAAATTTGGAGCCAAAGAACCCAAGTTCTGATTCTGATTCTGCTACCTAAGACCCGTATGAGCTTGGACTATACGACCTCTTCTCTCTGGTCCTTAGTTTCCTCATCTGTAAAATGAGGGGATTGGACTACATAATTACTAACATCTTTTTCAGTTCTAAATCCAAAGATTCAAAGGAAGCATTACTTCAAGCCATTTGTCATAGAATCAGAGATTCCCATCATAACAACAGAACAATGTGACATACTTTGCCAAGGGCAACTGCACAGGGAAACAAGTCATCTCTACATTCTGGGTTTTAAAAGCAGAGTCATAGTGGCCCTAGTGATATTCTCCAGAACCACAGCATCAACAACATGGCAGATGATGCCGTGCGTTTGAACAGGAGAAAACTCTCCGATGACCACATCCACAGGCCCATCTGCCAGCATCCTCCTTTGCAATATTGTTTCCACTTGGCCTCATTTCACCCCCATTGTCCCCTAAGCCAAGGGCTAGCACTCAGATTGTTGTGTCTGCTGGGAAGGGAGAAAACAAGATGCCATGCCCAGCCTTGGGCATGGCCCAAGTATAAGCCAAACACTGATAGGTTCACAGATTTAGAGCTAGAGATAGGGTGACTTTTGAAAAGCCTTTCCAAATTTTGTGGGCAGGAACTTTAGAAGCATGAGCCGTGATATCCAATGGACTCCAGATGTTCTCCTGTGTCCATCAGCCCTGCCTATTAATAATTCCAATATGTCAGAACAGAAGGACAAAGGGCATTGGGGCTGTTTCCCCAGCAAGATATCAACTTTTTTTTTTCTTAAAACAAATTCTTCAAAGGTTACATGAGGCCTGGGTACCAGAGAAGCCTGGGAACCTCCAAAAGAAGGGATCATTAGAAGTATGCCATAAGGCAAGAGAAGGCATGGAAATAGAGAAGATGAGGCACGGAATATTTCCATGTAAACCCATGAGACTCACACCAATGGTCTAGAAGAACTGTGTGGGAAGGCCCTAAGTGATAAAACCCAGGGATGGTCTTCCTCATTATCACAGCACTTAGTACAAAGGACAAAAAGCAAAGTAGAGTCAACAAGAGAACAATGGATCTTTTTTTTTTGTAGTTACAAAGAATAGGAAGGAAAGCAGGAACCCATCAAATGTGCAGTGGTGAAAAAAAAATGGTGGCATATTAATGTATTGGAATATTTGGGGGCTACAAGAGAAGATGAAATATGAAGAATTCAAAGAAACTTGGGAAGAATTCTATGAACTGATACAGAACAAAGCAAAACCAAAGAAACAATTGATGTGATGACCACAATGACTTCAGAATTCATTACCCTTCCCCCACTTCTGAACTTTCCTATTCTTGTCAAGGGAACCACCATCCTCCCAGTTTCCTAGATGTCATCCTTGCCTCCTTATTCTTTCTCATTCCAGCCTTGAATCCCATCTATTACCAAGTTCCATCAATTTTACCTTCACAACACCTCTTACATACATATGCCCCCTTCCCTCTCTGACACTGCTACTACCCCAGTTCAGACCCTTATCACTTCAAATTTCTCCCCACTCCAGTCTGGCCAACACTAAGCTGTCAAATTAATCTTCCTAAAGTGAAGGTCTGACCACATCACCAACCTGTCCCCTCTCCCCCCAACTCAAGAAATTCCCTATCACCTCCAGGATCAAAAATAAAATCCTCTGATATTCAGAGCCCTTTATAACCTGAACCCCTCCTACCTTTCTGGTCTTATAATATCTTAAAGCCCACTATACTTTGTGATCCAGTGACACTGATCTCCTTGCTATTTCTCAAACAAGACATCCCATTTCCAGACTCCAGAATTTTCACTGGCTGTCCCCCATGCCTGGAATTCTCTCCTTCCTCATCTCCAAATCCTGGTTTCCCTGGCAACTAAAATCCCACCTTCTACAGGAAGTTTTTCTCAATCCCCTTTAATGCTAGCTAATGTCTTCCTTTTGATTATCTCCTATTTATCCTGTACAGGCATACCTCATTTTATTGAGCTTCGCAGATATTGAGTTTTTTTTTTTTTAACAAATTGAAGGTTTGTGACAACCCTACTTTAAGCAGGTCCATTGGCACCATTTTTCCACCCACATGCGCTCACATCGTGTCTCCATGTCACGTTTTGGTCGTTCTTGCATCTCAAACTTTTTCATTATTATCTTATCTGTCATGGTGATCTGTGATCAGTGATCTTTGATGTTACTATTGCAATTGTTTCAGGGTGCCACAAACTGGCCCATATAAAATTCTGAACTTAATCATAAATGTGTATGTTCTGACTGCTCTGTCAACACTTCATTTCCTGTCTCTCTCTCTTCATCTCTCTCCTTCTCCTTAGGCCTCAAGACACAACAATATTAAAATTAGGCCAATTAGTAACCCTATGATGGCCTCTAAGTGTTCAAGTGAAAGGAAGAATCAACACATGTGGCAAACTTCATTGTTGTCTTATTTTAAGAAACTACTATAACCACCTCAACCTTCAGCAACCACTACCCTGATCACTCAGCAGCCATCGACATTGAGGCAACCTCACTAGTTATGTGACTCTGGGAAAGTCACTTAACCCCAATTGCCTCAAAAAAAAAACCCCAAAAAACATTGAGGCAAGACCCTTCATCAGCAAAAAGATGATGAGTCACTGAAGGCTCAGATGATAGTTAGCATTTTTTAGCAATAAAGTATTTTTAAATTAAAGTGTGTACATTGTTTTTAGATATATTACTATTGCACACTAAATAGACTACAGTATAGTATAAACATAACTTTTATATGCACTGGGAAACAAAAAATCAGTGTGATTTGCTTTATTGTGATATTTGTTTTGGTGATGGTCTGGAAATGAACCTACAGTATCTCTGAGATACTCCCATATGTATCTTGTTTGTATACAATTCTTTGCATGATTTCTCCCCCACTAGACTGTGAGCTTGGAGAGAAGGGAGTAGCTTTTTGTATTTCTTTGTACACTCAGAGCTTAGTACAGTGATTGGAACATAGTAGGCACTTAATAAATGCTTGTTGACTGATTGAATTGACCAATTATGATTTCAGATGATTGACACTGAAACATGCCTAAGAGGTGGTGGGCTATAGATTCTGAATGAGATGTACATTTTCAGACATGGCTGATGTGTTCATTTGTTTTGCTTGACTTGTGGGGGTGGAGAGAGGAATCATTGGGAAGTGATATAGACATTTGGAAAAAAAATAGTAATTTAAAAATTTTTATTTATTTTTTGTTTTTAAGGTGCTAGACTTGGTATCAGGAGATCTGGGTTCCATCTCGCCCACTGCTCTGCTTAACGAGCTTTGAGAGAATGGGTAAGTGACTTTGTTTTTCTAGGTCTCAGTTTTGTAAGCTGCGTTTCTCACAGGATTGAAATAAGAAAATATTCTGAAAACAACAAAGTCTTTTGCAAATATAAAGGATACCAAGTACCATAACAGAGTTTTGAAGCCAGAGTGAAAAAAATTTCAAAATAACAATAATCCTCAGTCTCATCTGCATTTTTCTAGCACTTGTAACTCACTTTCTCTCAGGAAGAACAAAAATGAGTGTCTCCATAGTAAAGATGGGAAATCTGAAATTCAGAGAGGGTGAGAGGCTTGTCTGAGGGCACACAGCAAGTCAGTGGCAGAGCCAACCAAGACTTTGATTCCCATTAGACTCAGCTGCTTCGGAAGTGGGGGGGGGGTGTTGGGAGTGGAGAGTTCCCCTAAGAGGAGAACAATTCCCCCAAAATGCCAACACAGCTGTTGGGGAGAAGATGCTAAGGCCCCTGAGAAGGCTTAACCCAAGTCAAGAGGGTGGGACTAGTCTCAGCTGCCTCAGCTGTCTGACGTTTGGGGAACAGATGCCTGAGCTGAGATGATGGCAGCTACTGGGCCTCTTCGGACCTCTCCCTCTCATTAACAATCCTTGCTATAAACAGCCTGGCCCAGGCCCAACGCAGAAGCCATTGCATTGGGTTCTCATCTGGCTTCAGAGGCTCAGCAGGGTTAGCCTAGACTCACCTATTCTTCTATAACCATCTCACCTCCAGCTCCCACAGTTCTGTAACTGACTTCTCCAGGGGCCCTCATGTCCATTATGTTAGATTTACAGGCTCATAGATTTAGGGCAGGCAATCTAGTTCAACTGACTCATTTTACAGAAGAGGAAACTGAGGATCAGAGAGATTGGGACTTACCCAAGGTCATACCAATAAGAAACAGAGCTGGGATTTGAACCTAGGAGTCCTGACTCCAAATCCATTGCTCTCTTCATAGTCTTATTGTGAAGGAGACAGGCACGAATTATGATGCCCTTCCCCACGTTATTTCTGAAGAGACAAGGATAGGTCTCTACAGGTTACAGGTGGGGAAACTGAGTCCAAAAAGGTTGAGTGACTTATCCAAAGTCACACTGGAAGTCAGTGAGTGATGAAGCTTGGCTGGAACCCAAAATGTGA